TAAGACGCGGCTTAGCTAAGACGCGTCTTATTAGATAAGACATGATGGTATAAATGGTACAGTTCGCGTCCTATTTAAGACGCGTCCTATGTAAGACCCGTCTGATTTTTCCTTGTATAAATGGCCCTAATGTCTAGTTTCACGTTTTGTGAAGGACGAAAACAAGCAATGAAATTTTCTTTCTCTTTATGAACTTGGATATGGTTGATAGAAATTCAGCTCCAGAAGAGTGCGTTGCATTTGACAAAGTAAGCGAGTTGGAATAATCACGATAGACACTGAAAAAAATGTGAATTCACTTTTCAAGCGACGTTTTCATGGCTGTCAGCTGTTGTGGCATGTTAAACTCCCTAATATTTACGAAGACGTGATCGATGCAGGCGTGAATACCTGTTGTAAGCTCAAGCTTGTATTTTCGGAAATGCGTCTTTAGTTTTCAGGTAGACAGTATTTTGAAATGGAGAGTTTATATGAAACTGAAAGTTTCCTGACTGCGTGCATTTCTTTGGTGCATGAGCCAGACAAGCCGTGATCGAGTCAATAGCCGTGATGTACGAACTCACAAAAAGAACTCAGGAGATGCTGTTCGCCGATTGGGCACAATAATGCAAAACATTTTTTGTGCCCAATCAGGAGCCACTATTCGCTTGACCGTTTTGAAATGGTCTGGTGAGAGTCGGTACCCAGAGGCTCTTCCGCTCGTGCTTGAAAACTTTAATTCGTCGCGCCTTTTCTCCCGGCGGCCCGACTCACTGCCCCTGGGTCTCCGAGGATGAAGTATACCAAGAAAACACAGTGTAAACACATATGTGTTCCCTTTAGCCTCTCTGGCTTGGGAACAGGGTATAAAAATCACCATTCCTCTCTTGAACAGAAGCGCAAGCCCCGATAGTCCACTTCTATTTAAAACCGTCTCGCAACATCGATCAAAGTTACCTCGCCCTATGCTCCTGTTAATCACGCGATCACGCAATTTCTTTCAAAAATGTCACGCTATGGCTACAGAGTCGAACTTCACTTACATTCAATACATCTTTTTAAAGTGTTCTTCGGAAAATCCATGAAATTACTAAAAATCAAAACTTCAGAAACAAGAGAGTGTGCTTTATGAAGTGTATAAAGGTTTTTTTAAACTACAGTCCGATGATAACACAACGCAAAAATTGGATTCCACGTAAGTGAAAATCGCAACGTTTTTGGTAGAATCCCTCTTAACGGAATACAGGGTATCCTTATCTTTGTATGATTTTTAATGTACGCTTTTATTTTGTCAGCATACAAGTGGAAAGCGACAAGCTTCCCTTTTGCATGACGTGACATACGGGTGCCAATATCGTTTGTTTCCTACTTTGGAAATGTAACGTTCTCTCGATGATGTTACTTATAGAGAGGACCGTGTCCGCGGAGTTCGTGTGGAAGTGCAGACGCGGGCTGAGAGAGGGAGCTGGGGGGCGGGGGGGGGGGCTGAATTAGTTCAGCCCGGGTTGCGAGGGGGGGCTTATTTGAGAGGGGGTGCCTTATTTAATTTAGGAAAGACGACGGTATCAGTGCTCCATAAAAAAACTAGAAAACAAAGTGCATGAAAGTGGGGAAGCTCAAGAACAAGAAGGTTGGAGGTTATGCAGCCGAGGAAAAAAATCAAATCCCAGATCAGTCCACACGAAGTTTTACAGTCGTGATTGATAATACAGTCTCTCATTTTTTAGTGAAGAATAATTAGGGGAGGGGAGAGGGGGGAGGGCTTAATAGAGAAAGAAGGCTTATTAACTTTCTTCCCCTGAGAAGGAGGGGGGTTAGACTGATTAGAGGGATGGGGCTTATTTGAAAGGGGGGCGCTTAATAGACGATTTACGGTAGTATAAATAGCATGCAATGGCCCCTTTAAAAAATGCTACCAACAATGAGGCAATCGAGGAAAGCCGGCGTCATGTCACGCGGTAGAATAAAGCGAGCAAATGAAGTAAGCCCGATTAAGCCATGAAAATACTGAAATTAGTCGATTGAAATTATACAGAAGGTCTTGGGAAAAGTTGAACAGCTAGCGAGCGCCATTAATAGGTCTGAAATCTTCATACAGTTGACGCTCTCGTAAGCGTCCACCTCAGAAATTCGAAAAAGTGGTCATTAGTAGAGCTGGTCGCTTACGAGAATTCGTTGATAAGTCATAAAGAAAAAAAGCAAAGGAAATTAATGTTTAACGAGTGTCTTTACATCTGATATAGACACGGCTAAACTTAACGTCCAATTTTTTAGACCAAAATAACTCCCAAGATCTTTATCAACGAACCATTAGTGAAGTGTGCAGTTTCACCAAAGTGTTGATTTATACGAATAGGACTCTGAGTGGTCGCTTATGAGAGCTTAAAAAGAAAGGAAAAGTCACAGGTCAAGCGGGGTTTCAAAAAAGTGGTCGTAACTAGAGCTGGTCGCTTACGAGAGTGGTTGCAAGGAGAACTTCTATTGCGGATGTGAGCCTTGACCTCGTTGCTGAGCAGCAAGGGAGAAGAAACCGATTGATTATTTATTCATACTAATTTATTACTTATTTATTTTTTCGCTTGGACCTCTCTTGTGTACGTGTATTTTTCAGTAATGCAACGACTTCCTGCCCAATCCTGTCTAAGCGTAGCTAGGTCACGTTTGAAAAGTATCTAAGAAGACATCAGCAGAAGTATACCAAGAAAACACAGTGTAAACACATATTTGTTCCCTTTAGCCTCTTTGATTTGGGAACAGGGTATAAAAATCACCATTTCTCTCTTGAACAGAAGCGTAAGCCCCGATAGTCCACTTCTATTTTAAAACCGTCTCGCGTCATCGATCAAAGTTACCTCGCCCCGTGCTCAGCGCAGGATCACGCGATCACGCAATTTCTTTCAAAGATGTCACGCTATAGCTGCAGAGTCGAGCTTCACCTACATTAAATACATTTTTTTAAAGTGTTCTTCAGAAAATCCATGAAATTACTAAAAATCAAAACTTCAGAAACAAGAGAGTGTGCTTTATGAAGTGTATAAAGGTTTTTTTCTTCACAGACTACAGTACGATGATGACACAACGCAAAAATTGGATTCCACGTAAGTGAAAATCGCAACGTTTTTCGTAGAATCCCTCGTAACGGAAGACAGGGTTTCCTTATCTTTGTATGATTTTTAATGTATGTTTTTATTTTGTCAGCATACAAGTGGAAAGCGACAAGCTTCCCTTTTGCATGACGTGACATACGGGTGCCAATATCGTTTGTTTCCTACTTTGGTAATGTACACAGTGGGACGTAAGCATACAATAACCCACGCAATGCAGGTCGACGTTTTGTCTCGAAGATTGGATCTATTAACGCTGCTCTTACGTTGCATAAGAACTATGACATTATTTTTACAAGCCATAGGATAAACACTTAAGTAGAAAATTAGGCAAAGCTCTTTAAAACTCACTTTTATACTAAAACAATCGGCGATCATAACATTTTTCAGAATGTTTATAGCCCAATAAAATAATTACAGGAATAAAACCGTGCCAGGCTGTGGAAACTGTTTGGACGGTTCACTTACTTTGATTCTTCCAATGTAGCTGGATCTTGTACTTTAACACTCGAATACTAGTTAGCAACTACTGACACATTTAATCAGGCAAACCGACTGCTAACATGACATAGCAATATCGTGAATTGTATCCAGTATATAGGTATTAAATTTCTCAGATTTAACACTGTGAAAAAGTGCATGTCGATTTTGTAGACTATGACGTTACCAAGAAAACGTTATCTAATGTCATTATTATTTAAAAAAATCTAATTTGTCTAATACGCCATATAAGGACATTATACACCTTATGCGGGCAATCTACTCGTGTACTTCAAACGTTTATAATTATATGAACGAGTTGCTAGTCAGTATAAGCCTGTATATTTCAACATTTTCTTTCATTAGTTTTTCGGGTTGTCTTCGGTAAAAAAGGAATATTGATTATTATTTCTGCTAGACAGGAGTTTAGTGCATCTTTAGTTCCATGTCTATGCTATAAAACAAACGCGGATCAACTGTTAATAATTCAGTTTTATGCAAATTCATATCATTGCGTAATTTCCATTATTTTTCAAACTGTCTTTTCCTTAAAAGGATGTACTGAGCTCGCTTTGAAGTAAATGATGTCGAAGAAAACCCACAGTCTAGAGCAACTGGATAATTATAAATATAGAATGTTACATCACATTGGGAACATATATATACGAAACTGCAGCAAAGTTGTTATCAAGCTATAGATTTGGAAGAGTTAGCTGTCAAGAAGAAAGATACCGGTAAGGCGTGAAACTAAGACTTGTTTTAAGTTAGTTTTTGGAGTCCATGCATTTATCCCGAACGAACGCTCAAGTTCTTGATCAAGTTGCTACAGTTGATTAAGTTTTTTAAAGATTTTGAGTATGAAGTACTAACGATGTACACCGTTTCTCCACAAAGTTTATTTTAAACATCTATATGCAGATTAATTTGGTTGACCGCAACTAATTTTTAACTATTTTGCTTTAAAGGTCTTTGAAAACTAAAGTCACTATCAACAATCACAATGGTAAGTAGTTACTGACAGTATTATGATAAAATTGTAGGTGGCCGTTGTTACCTCTTTATTTTAAAAATGCCCGACAGAATAGCAGTGTTATTTTTAGTAAAAAATTGAGGTCGTTGTACACTAAACACACCCTCGGCCAGGCTTTTCAGCCATGAGAGTGATTAGGAATAATCAAAGCAATTTTTTTTTATTTGAGGAAGCAGAATGTAAGCAAAATTTTGCTGTACTTCCCCTTGCTTAATTGGAACTCATAATGTAATAATCAATATTTCAAAAATAGCTCTCCTACATACCAACTTTGGCCTTCATTTTCTCTCTATTGAACAAAAAAGCTTCATTTTTTGGAATCTGTGTTCTCCTTTATAGCAGTTCTGATACCTGAAAAAGGTTTTTTAGATTATTAATCTTATTTTTGTGTTCTCTTGATACAGTCTATGTCAGGGGTCCAAGTCGATGCTAAAATCAACGGTCTGTTTAATGACATGAAGATGAGAAGCAAACACAAGTTTGCATTCTTTAAAATTGAAGGAAAGAAGAAAATTGTTGCTGACGTGTGTGGTGATCCATGCAAAACAGAAACAAAAGAAGAAGATGAAGAACAGTTTAATAGAATGAAGGAACAACTCAGCAATGAGCCACGATATATTTTGTATGATTTTGGATTTATGAAGAAGGATGGCAGGCGAGTTAATAAGCTGGCATTCATCTTTTGGTGAGTGAGACTGTCTCTGTATTTTTATTAATTGGTGACCGGGCATAAAATTTTCCTTTAGTTTCAAGACATTTTACAGGTGTTTTAAGCTGGATTTTAATGCATGCAGCTCGAAAGAGTCAAAGTTGTAAGACGTTTTATTTCATTAACCTGGTGAAAATCAAAGACTTTATTTGAGTCGTACGGGGTTATAAGTAAAACAGAATCGGTGGCCTACGTGTCAGGCGTTTGAAAGAAAATGGGAAGGGAATTCCGGCCGCTCGAGAAGCGCGAAAGGCGCGCGAGTGGAGTATATGGTCTTTTTCGTTATTCACATCGACCAGAGAGATGCAAAAATAATTATTTGATTTTAATTAATGATACCTTAATCCAATTGGTTGAAGTCAACATCATGCTATTGGGGACTTCTTACTGGTGATAAAAGCGCTTGAAACTTACTTTTATCGCGGCTTTTTTTACAGATCCTTAAACTCGTTTCATAAACTCGGCACGCGTCGTTGCAAATTTCCTCCTTCAGTTTAGCTATAAACGGCGTCGAACTCAGGCCACTTTGGTGGAAGGTGAATGCTCTCTCCACGGCGCCTCCCTTGCTCCCTGAATCGACGTATTATTAATCAACGTGCACTCATCAAGAGATAATTTATTAAAAAAGTAGCCTATTCCAGGCTCTCAGATAGTAGGGAAGTGTATTAAAGGCAGCGAAAATATAAGCACGCGATCTGGGAAAAGAAGGCGGTGCCGCCCTTCCACTCTCCAGTCTCCTCAGTATATTTCTCCTCCTCAGTATATTTTCGTGTTAGCGCTTTCTCCATTTCCCTGACCCGACTATCTCGGAGCCTTGAACGGGCTAATAAAAACGGTCTTTAGGTTTTAGTTTGTATGATAAAGTACACCCTTATTGCCTGGTTCTCATTTCTACTTAGAGACTGTTCACATGAGGTGAGCCAGCTTGGTTAGCAAGACTGGCCTTCTTTACCAGGCTGGTTCGGCTCGTTCCTTGTTTCCTTACAAAATCGGTGTTGTGTTTACATGAGAAGACCGGCTGGCGCACTTGCTGAGATCTTCCTTGGAGGAACCAAGATCTCGGCAAGCGCAGCCGAGCCAACCGGTTAACTCGGCTGGCTCACCTTATCTCCCTCTTTTGTTTCAGGTGTGACGAAAATGCAAAGATTGGAGACAAAATGATATACGCATCTTCAAAAGACACCATCAAAAAGTCCTTCACTGGTTTATCACTGGAATTCCAAGCAAACGATGAGGGTGATTTGGATTACACAACTTTAAGTGAGGAAGTGGAAACTAGAAACGCTTAGATAGCATACATCAGAACACGACACTCAAGCTTTTTTACAACTTTTCCTTTTTGTTTTTGTATAATCTGCCGTTTAAGTTTTAGATGACAAGAAATATCAATAACTGCATGCAATCTGACTTCATTTTATACCTGTTATCTCTGACCGCCTATTGAATTTAACAATGGTGGGAGGCCATTTTGTAGATAGAATTATTTAAAACCTTTAAATACCTGGAAGGAAGCGAATGTTTTGACACCTTAACTTTGTATTCGGAAGTAAATTTGTAGTAAACAGTGTTTTTCTTCCTGGCATATTTTGTTGTCTTGAAAACAATCCTTTTACAAATAGTGACAGGTCGTTTCGATACATATTTACCGTTTGGTCGAGGTGTAAATAGTTTCACGTGCTTGGCTTAAAGAACGAAGAATACTCACCTCAAATGCTTTCTTGTCCACGCGCAAACTCGGTGTACTTAAAGAGACCAAATTTTTTGTGTAATTTCAGTGCTTCGGGGGCGAATTGAAACGACTCTGTATCGAATCGACCGGTTTGTATTTGTATTGAGGTAAATACAAACTGAAGAGGTTGTTTGTTACCCTGTGAGCAGTGGTTTCTCCAGCTCGGACGCTATGCTAAGAAGGGAAAGGAACGCTTTGTAACGTAGCTTCCGGACTAGGAAACCACTGTTTGCAGGGTAGTTGTAAGTACTTCTTGACTTGTGAACTCTCGCGTATGATATGTTCCAGTGAACCATTCAGGACATTTCAAGACCTCTGAGCTCAAAAATCACTGAATGATTAATAGTGACTTTCTGAGAATAAGGTGCGATAGTCCAAAGCGAGCTAGGGACTCTTTTACGGCCTTTGCTACCATTTTTGTGTCAGGAGAAGATCAAAATTCGACAATTTTGGTCTGAGATGATGATTTATGTCTGGAATGAAGGTTTGCTAACCTTATTTAGAACAGAAGGATAGTTCCAAAACCAAACAATTTCACAGTTCTTCAAGGGGCTTGGCTGCCTTGGCACCGAAGAGGTGTGTCTCTTTACTTCGGGGAAAGAGGAAAGAGGGACAAGAAAGAGGAACCGAAAATTGAAACTGGGATGAAAACAGAGAAAGGGTATGTATTATAGGGCTGGCTACACTGTAGGGTCCCATTTTTCATTTCCAACTTCCCGTTCCTCGGTTTAGTAACGTCCAAGGGAGGAGTCCTCTTCGTTCGAAGGACATTTTGCAAGTAGACTTAGGCCCGGTTCAGACACCAAACCTTCCATGAACCGAACCTAATTCGAATTAAGGCCGACCAGGAGCCCCAAATTATTAAGACCGGCTGGATTGATTCAGACGCCGATCTTATTTGCAGCTGAACTAAATCAAAGGCGAAAAATGCTCATTTCGGTCAAACTGACCGAAAAGAACGGCTGAGCCGTTCTGAATTGAAACAGGCGTTCCTAATTGATTCAGACGCCGAACTTTTCATGTACTTAATTCAGTGTATTAGATAGCTCATGAAAAGTTCGGCGTCTGAACGAGGCCTTATCTTTGCTTGGAATCGGCCATTTTGTACCTTGGGAATCAGAGGTTTTTCCTGCTTGCTGCGTTTGCAGCCAGATGTTTCGTCGGTCACGGGCCAACGCCACGGCTGTAAAGGCTTGACACCAAAAACCGCGTATGAAAAGCCCGTGGCAGCCAAGGTGGCCATTACTCTCTAACGTCATAGATTTTACGATGTTGCCCGCTAAAAGATTTTGGCGGGAAACAGTTTCACTTTTGGAAGTCATGTGACCTCGAGGTAACCAATGAGAGCGCGCGCTGTTGGCAAAAAAAATTCCAGCTATATCACAATACGACATAACGACTTGTTACGTCGTAGTGCTTATGTCGTTCTATTACAAGAGTGAACACCCTTCAACATCGAGTCTGTGCGTCTACATAACAGTACCTTGCTCTTAAGGTGGTTTTTAGGTTTCAGTTCGTGGATTCAGATGAAGCTCAGCGAGCAGCGTGAAAGTTTTTTTTAGTGAAGAGAAAAAAGAAGAGTGTGAAATACAGTACAGGACGGAAGAGCGCAAGCTCACTTTTGAGCTGCGACTTTCACTACAACCGAAGGAGTTCGAAAAAATTCTAATTACCTCCATTAAATTGATTTTATTCTCGGTGAAAACGGTCTGATCAGGCTTCATTTTCATTATAGCTCAAGATTTCAGGACTGATTTGCTTTACAGAGGTAACTTTAATCCAGGTACTACATGAATCGAGGCAGCTCGAAGCCGCCATGTATACAGAAAGATTGACAGCAGTGCACATGAGCAGTACATTTACCCGCTGTCCAGTTGCTGGCCTGGATCGCCAGAGCTGGTCGCTTACGAGAGTGGTTACAAGGAGAACTTCCACTGTATGTGAGCAGCAAGCGAGAATAAACCGATATATAATTTATTGATATGATTATTTCTCCATACTAATTTATTACTTATTTATTTATTCGCTGGACCTCTCTTGTGTACGTGTATTTTTCAGTGATGTAAAGACTTCCTGCCCAAATTAGGGAGATCTACAACGTTTCCTGTCTAAGCGTAGCTAGGTCACGTTTGAAAAGTATCTAAGACATCAGCAGAAGTATACCAAGAAAACAAAGTGTAATCACATATGTGTTCCCTTTAGCCTCTCTGGCTTGGGAACAGGGTATAAAAATCACCAATCCTCTCTTGAACAGAAGCGCAAGTCCCGATAGTCCACTTCTATTTAAAACCGTCTGGCATCATCGATCAAAGTTACCTCGCCCCATGCTCCTGTTACTACCGCGCAGGATCACGCGATCACGCAATTTCTTTCAAAAATGTCACGCTATGGCTACAGAGTCGAGCTTCACCTACATTCAATACATCTTTTTAAAGTGTTCTTCGGAAAATCCATGAAGTTACTAAAAATTAAAACTTCAGAAACACGAGAGTGTGCTTTATGAAGTGTGTAAAGGTTTTTTTTCTTCACAGACTACAGTACGATGATGACACCACGCAAAAATTGGATTCCACGTAAGTGAAAATCGCAACGTTTTTCGTAGAATCCCTCTTAACGGAAGACAGGGTTTCCTTATCTTTGTATGATTTTTAATGTATGTTTTTATTTTGTCAGCATACAAGTGGAAAGCGACAAGCTTCCCTTTTGCATGACGTGACATACGCGTGCCAATATCGTTTGTTTCTTACTTTGGTAATGTACACAGTGGGACGTAAGCATACAATAACCCACGCAATTCAGGTCGACGTTTTGTCTCGAAGATTAGATCTATTAGCGCTGCTCTTACGTTGCATAAGAACTATGACATCATTTTTACAAGCCATAGGATAAACACTTAAGTAGAAAATTAGGCAAAGCTCTTTAAAACTCACTTTTATACTAAAACAATCGGCGATCATAACATTTTTCAGAATGTTTATAGCCCAATAAAATAATTACAGGAATAAAACCGTGCCAGGCTGTGGAAACTGTTTGGACGGTTCACTTACTTTGATTCTTCCAATGTAGCTGGATCTTGTACTTTAACACTCGAATACTAGTTAGCAACTACTGACACATTTAATCAGGCAAACCGACTGCTAACATGACATAGCAATATGGTGAATTATATCCAGTAGTACATAGGTATTAAGTTTCTCAGATTTAACAAAAAGTGCATGTCGATTTTATGGACTATGACGTTACTGAGATAACGTTATCTCATGTCATAATTATATCTAAAAAAACTAAGTTGTAAAATACGCCATATAAGAACATAATTAATGCACCTTATGCGCGCAATCTACTCGTGTCGTTTAAACCTTTTAATATGATTAAATTATATATGAAGTTGCAGGTCAGTATGAGCCTATAAATTGTAACATTTTCGTTCATTAGGTTTTCGGGTTGTCATCAGTAAAACAATGTATATTGATTATTATTTCTGCTAGATAGGAGTTTTGTGTATGTTTTCTTCCATATTTAGCCTATAAAATCGATATAAAACAAACGCAAATCAACTGTTAATAATTCAGTTTTATGCAAATTCATCATTGCGCAATTGCCATTATGTTTCAAACTGCCGCGGCTTTTCCTTAAAAGGATGTACCGAGCTCGCTTTGAAGTAAATGATGTCGAAGAAAACCCACAGTCTAGAGCAACTGGATAATTATAAATATAGAATGTTACATCACACTGGGAACATATATATACGAAACTACACCAAAGTTGTTATCAAGCCATAGAGTTGGAAGAGTTAGCTGTCAAGAAGAAAGTTACCGGTAAGGCGCGAAACTAAGACTTGTTTTAAGTTAGTTTTTGGAGTCCATACATTTATCCGGAACAAACGCTCAAGTTCTTGATCAAGTTGCTACAATTGATTAAGTATTTAAAGATTTTTCACTATGTAGTGCTATCGATGTACACGGTTTCTCCACAAAGTTTATTTTAAACATCTATATGCAGATTAATTTGGTTGACCCCAACTAATTTTTAACTGCTTTGCTTTCAAGGTCTTTTGAAAACTAGAGTCACGATCAACAATCACAATGGTAAGTAGATACAGTATTTTGATAAAATGGTAGGTGGCCGTTGTTAACTCTTAGTTTAAAATATGCCCGACAGAATAGCAGAGTTATTTTAGTCAAAAACTGAGGTCGTTGTACACTAAACGCACCCTCGGCCAGGCTTTTATCAGCCATGGAAGTGATTAGGAATGATCAAAGCAGTTGTTCTTCATTTGAGGAAGCAGAATGTAAGCAAATTTTGCTTAATCTCCCCTTGCTTACTTGAAACTCATAATGTAATAATAAATATTTCAAAAATAGCTCTATTAGATACCAACTTTGGCCTTCGTTTTCTCCACTTCTACTGAACAAAAATGCTTCATTTTTGGAATTTGTGTTCTCCTTTAAAGCACGTCTGATACCTTAATAAGTCTTTTTTTAGATTATTAATTTATTTTTATGTTTTCTTGATACAGTCTATGTCAGGGGTCCAAGTCGATGCTAAAATCAACGGTTTGTTTAATGACATGAAGATGAGAAGCAAACACAAGTTTGCATTCTTTAAAATTGAAGGAAAGAAGAAAATTGTTGCTGACGTGTGTGGTGATCCATGCAAAACAGAAACAAAAGAAGAAGATGAAGCACAGTTTAATAGAATGAAGGAGCAACTCACCAATGAGCCACGATATATTTTGTATGATTTTGAATTTATGAAGAAGGATGGCAGGAAAGTTAATAAGTTGGCATTCATCTTTTGGTGAGTGAGACTGTCTTTGTATTTTTATTAATTGGTGATAGGGCATAAAATTTTCCTTCAGCTTCAAGACATTTTAGGCTGGATTTTAATACATGTAGCTCGACAGAGTCAAAATTGTAGAACATTTTATTTCTATCATTAACCTGGTGAAAATCAAAGACTTGATTTGAGTCGTAAGCGGAGTTATAAGTGAAACATAATCGGTAGCCTACGTGTCAGGCGTTTGAAAGGAAATGGAAAGGGAATTCCGGACGCTCGAGAAGCGCGAAAGGCGCGCGAGTGGAGTATATAGTCTTCTTCGTTATTCACATCTACCAGAGAGATGTAAAAAGTAATGATTTAGTACCTTAATTAATGATACCTTATTTCGATTGGTTGAAGTCAACATCACGCTGTTTGGGACTTCGTACTGGTGAAAAACCGCTGGAAACTTACTTTTATCGCGGCCTTCTTACAGACCCTTAGCTCGTTTCATAAACTCGGCACGCGTCGTTGCAATTTAGCTACAAACGGCGTCGAACCCGGGCCACTTTGGTGGAAAATGAGTGCTCTCTCCACGGCGCCTTCCTTGCTCCCTGAATTGATGTATGATTAATCAAAGTGCAATCATCAAGAGATTATTAAATAAAAAAAGTGGCCGGTTCCAGGCTCTCAGATAGTAAGGATGATGCGTAAGTGTAAGGCACCCGAAAATATAAGCGCTCGAGCTGGGAAAAATGGTCGGCGCCGCCCTTCCTCTCCCCAGTCTCCTCCCGTCAGTTTATTTTCGTGTTTGCGCTTCCTCAATTTTGCTGACCCGACTATCTCGGAGCCTTGAACGGGCTAATAAAAACGGTCTTTAGGTTTAGTTTGTGTGATAAAGTACACCTTTATTGCCTGGTTCTCATTTCTACTTAGAGACTGTTCACATGAGGTGAGCCAGCTTGGTTAGCAAGACTGGCCTGCTTTACTGGGCTGGTTCGGCTCGTGCCTTGTTTCCTTACAAAATCGTTGTTGTGTTTATAAGAGAAGACCGGCTGGCGCACTTGCTGAGATCTTCCTTCGAGGAACCAAGATCTCGGCAAGCGCGGCCGAGCCAACCGGTTAACTGGGCTGGCTCATCTTATCTCCCTCTTTTGTTTCAGGTGTGACGAAAATGCAAAGATTGGAGACAAAATGATATACGCATCTTCAAAAGACACCATCAAAAAGTGCTTCACTGGTTTATCACTGGAATTCCAAGCAAACGATGGGGGTGACTTGGATTACACAACTTTAAGAGAGGAAGTGGAAACTAGAAACGCTTAGATAGCATGCACCAGAACACGACACTCAAGCTTTTTTACAACTTTTCCTTTTTGTTTTTGTATAATCTGCCGTTTAAGTTTTAGATGACAAGAAATATCGATACCTGCATGCAATCTGACTTCATTTTATACCTGTTATCTCTGACCGCCTATTGAATTTAACAATGGTGGGAGGCCATTTTGCAGATATAATTATTTAAAACCTTTAAATACCTGGAAGGAAGCGAATGTTTTGACACCTTAACTTTGTATTCGCGAGAAGTAAATTTCGAAGTAAACAGTGTTTTTCTTCCTGGCATATTTTGTTGTCTTGAAAACAATCATTTCACAAATAGTTACAGGTCGTTTCGATACACGTTGACTTGGTCGAGGTGTAAGTGGCTTCACGTGCTTGACTTAAAGAACGAAGGATACTTTCCTCAAATGTTTTCTTGTCCACGCGCAAACTCAGTATACGTGAAGAGATCAAAATTTTTGTGTAATGTCAGTGCTTCGGGGGTGATTTGAAACGACTCTGTATCAAATCGACCGGTTTCCTCACAAACATACAACCATACCATCTAAAATTGAGGTAAATACAAACTGAACAGGTTGTTTGTTACCCTGCAAGCAGTGGTCTCTCCAGTTCGGACGCTACGCTACGAAGGGAGAGTAACGCTTCATAGTGTAGCGTCAACCACAGGTTGCAGGCTAGTTGTAAGTATTTCTTGACTTGTGAACTCTCGCGTATCATATGTTCCAGTGAACCATTCAGGACATTTCAAGACCTCTGAGCTGAAAAATCACTGAATGATTAATAGTGACTTTCTGAGAATAAGGTGCGATAGTCCAAAGCGAGCTAGTAAGTCTTTACGGTCTTTGCCACCACTTTTGTGTCAAGACAAGATTAAACTTCGACAAGTTTGGTCTGAGATGATGGTTTGAGTTCTGGAATGAAGGTTTGCCAACCTTATTCAAAGCAGAAGGATAGTTCCAAAACCAAACAATTTCTTCAAGGGATTTGGCACCGAAGAGGTGTGTCTCTTTACTTCGGGGAAAGGGGAAAGAGGAACAAGCAAGGGGGAACGATAATTGAAAATCGGATGAAAACAGAGAAAGAGTATGTATTGTAGGGCTGGCTACACTGTAGGGTCCCATTTTTCATTTCCACCTCCCCGTTCTATGGTTAAGTAACCTCCAAGGGAGGAGTCCTCTTCGTTCGAAGGACATTTTGCAAGTAGGATTATTCTTCCTTGGAAGAGGCCATTTTGTACCTTGGGAATCTGAGGTTTTTTCTGCGTGCAGCGTTTGCCGCGAAATGCTTCGTCGGTCACGGGCCGACGCCACGGCTGTAAAGGCTTGACACTAAAAACCGCGCATGAAAAGCCCCTGGCACCTAGGGTGGCCATTACTCGCTGACGTCATAGATTTCACGATGTTGCCCGCTAAAAGATTTTGTCGGGAAACAGTTTCACTTTTACAAGTCATGTGACCTCGAGGTAACCAATGAGAGCGCGCGCTGTTGGCAAAAAAAAATTCCAGCTATATGACAATACGACATAACGACTTGTTAGGTCGTAGTGCTTATGTCGTTCTATTACTGGTGTGAACACGGCTCAACTTCGAGTCTGTGCTTTTACATACCAGTACCTTGCTCTTAAGGAGGTTTTTAGGTTTCAGTTCGTGGATTCAGATGAAGAAAAGCGAGCAGCGTGAAAGTTTTTTTAAGTGAAGAGAAAAGAAGAGTGCGAAATACAGTACAGGACAGAAGAGAGCAAGCTCATTTTTTGCGCTGCGACTTCCACTACAACCGAAGGAGTTCGAAAAATTCTAATTACCACCATTAAATTGACTTTATTCTCGGTGAAAACGGTCTGATCAGGCTTCATTTTCATTATAGCTCAAGATTTCAGGGCTGACTTGCTTTACAGAGGTAACTTTAATCCAGGCATTACATGAATCGAGGCAGCTCGAAGCCGCCATGTATACAGAAAGATTGAAAGCGGTGCACGTGAGCAGTACGTTTACCCGCTGTCCAGTTGCTGGCCTGGATCGCCAGAGCTGGTCGCTTACGAGAGTGGTTGCAAGGAGAACTTCCATTGTATGTGAGCAGGAAGCGAGAATAAACCGATATATAATTTATTTATATCATTATTTCTCCATACTAATTTACTAGTGATTCATTTATTCGCTGGACCTCTCTTGTGTACGTGTATTTTTCAGTGATGTAAAGACTTCCTGCCCAAATTAGGGAGATCTACAACGTTTCCTGTCTAAGCGTAGCTAGGTCACGTTTGAAAAGTATCTAAGACATCAGCAGAAGTATACCAAGAAAACAAAGTGTAATCACATATGTGTTCCCTTTAGCCTCTCTGGCTTGGGAACAGGGTATAAAAATCACCATTCCTCTCTTGAACAGAAGCGCAAGTCCCGATAGTCCACTTCTATTTAAAACCGTCTGGCATCATCGATCAAAGTTACCTCGCCCCATGCTCCTGTTACTACCGCGCAGGATCACGCGATCACGCAATTTCTTTCAAAAATGTCACGCTATAGCNTCCTTTATAGCAGTTCTGATACCTGAAAAAGGTTTTTTAGATTATTAATCTTATTTTTGTGTTCTCTTGATACAGTCTATGTCAGGGGTCCAAGTCGATGCTAAAATCAACGGTTTGTTTAATGACATGAAGATGAGAAGCAAACACAAGTTTGCATTCTTTAAAATTGAAGGAAAGAAGAAAATTGTTGCTGACGTGTGTGGTGATCCATGCAAAACAGAAACAAAAGAAGAAGATGAAGAACAGTTTAATAGAATGAAGGAACAACTCAGCAATGAGCCACGATATATTTTGTATGATTTTGGATTTATGAAGAAGGATGGCAGGCGAGTTAATAAGCTGGCATTCATCTTTTGGTGAGTGAGACTGTCTCTGTATTTTTATTAATTGGTGACCGGGCATAAAATTTTCCTTTAGTTTCAAGACATTTTACAGGTGTTTTAAGCTGGATTTTAATGCATGCAGCTCGAAAGAGTCAAAGTTGTAAGACGTTTTATTTCATTAACCTGGTGAAAATCAAAGACTTTATTTGAGTCGTACGGGGTTATAAGTAAAACAGAATCGGTGGCCTACGTGTCAGGCGTTTGAAAGAAAATGGGAAGGGAATTCCGGCCGCTCGAGAAGCGCGAAAGGCGCGCGAGTGGAGTATATGGTCTTTTTCGTTATTCACATCGACCAGAGAGATGCAAAAATAATTATTTGATTTTAATTAATGATACCTTAATCCAATTGGTTGAAGTCAACATCATGCTATTGGGGACTTCTTACTGGTGATAAAAGCGCTTGAAACTTACTTTTATCGCGGCTTTTTTTACAGATCCTTAAACTCGTTTCATAAACTCGGCACGCGTCGTTGCAAATTTCCTCCTTCAGTTTAGCTATAAACGGCGTCGAACTCAGGCCACTTTGGTGGAAGGTGAATGCTCTCTCCACGGCGCCTCCCTTGCTCCCTGAATCGACGTATTATTAATCAACGTGCACTCATCAAGAGATAATTTATTAAAAAAGTAGCCTATTCCAGGCTCTCAGATAGTAGGGAAGTGTATTAAAGGCAGCGAAAATATAAGCACGCGATCTGGGAAAAGAAGGCGGTGCCGCCCTTCCACTCTCCAGTCTCCTCAGTATATTTCTCCTCCTCAGTATATTTTCGTGTTAGCGCTTTCTCCATTTCCCTGACCCGACTATCTCGGAGCCTTGAACGGGCTAATAAAAACGGTCTTTAGGTTTTAGTTTGTATGATAAAGTACACCCTTATTGCCTGGTTCTCATTTCTACTTAGAGACTGTTCACATGAGGTGAGCCAGCTTGGTTAGCAAGACTGGCCTTCTTTACCAGGCTGGTTCGGCTCGTTCCTTGTTTCCTTACAAAATCGGTGTTGTGTTTACATGAGAAGACCGGCTGGCGCACTTGCTGAGATCTTCCTTGGAGGAACCAAGATCTCGGCAAGCGCAGCCGAGCCAACCGGTTAACTCGGCTGGCTCACCTTATCTCCCTCTTTTGTTTCAGGTGTGACGAAAATGCAAAGATTGGAGACAAAATGATATACGCATCTTCAAAAGACACCATCAAAAAGTCCTTCACTGGTTTATCACTGGAATTCCAAGCAAACGATGAATCCTTATCTTTGTATGATTTTTAATGTACGCTTTTATTTTGTCAGCATACAAGTGGAAAGCGACAAGCTTCCCTTTTGCATGACGTGACATACGGGTGCCAATATCGTTTGTTTCCTACTTTGGAAATGTACACAGTGGGACGCAATTTATCATTGCATGGGAGCGTACAATAACCCACGCAATGCAGGTCGACGTTCTGTCTCGAAGATTGGATCTATTAAAAGCTTTTTCTTACGTTGCATAAGAACTATGACATCATTTTTACAAGCCATAGGATAAACATTTAAGTAGAAAATTAGGCAAAGCTCTATAAAACTCCCTTCATTAAAACAATCAGCGATCATAACATTTTTCAGAATGTTTATAGTCTAATATTATAATTACGGGAATAAATTGTGCGAGGCTGTGGAAAATGTTTGGACATGCAGTTCACTTACTTTGATTCTTCAAATGTAGCTGGATCTTGTACTTTAACCTCGAATACTAGATAGCAGCTACTGACACATTTAATCAGGCAAACCGACTGCTAACATGACATAGCAATATCGTGAATTGTATCCAGTATATAGGTATTAAATTTCTCAGATTTAACACTGTGAAAAAGTGCATGTCGATTTTGTAGACTATGACGTTACCAAGAAAACGTTATCTAATGTCATTATTATTTAAAAAAATCTAATTTGTCAAATACGCCATATAAGGACATTATACACCTTATGCGGGCAATCTACTCGTGTACTTCAAACGTTTATAATTATATGAACGAGTTGCTAGTCAGTATAAGCCTGTATATTTCAACATTTTCTTTCATTAGTTTTTCGGGTTGTCTTCGGTAAAAAAGGAATATTGATTATTATTTCTGCTAGACAGGAGTTTAGTGCATCTTTAGTTCCATGTCTATGCTATAAAACAAACGCGGATCAACTGTTAATAATTCAGTTTTATGCAAATTCATATCATTGCGTAATTTCCATTATTTTTCAAACTGTCTTTTCCTTAAAAGGATGTACTGAGCTCGCTTTGAAGTAAATGATGTCGAAGAAAACCCACAGTCTAGAGCAACTGGATAATTATAAATATAGAATGTTACATCACATTGGGAACATATATATACGAAACTGCAGCAAAGTTGTTATCAAGCTATAGATTTGGAAGAGTTAGCTGTCAAGAAGAAAGATACCGGTAAGGCGTGAAACTAAGACTTGTTTTAAGTTAGTTTTTGGAGTCCATGCATTTATCCCGAACGAACGCTCAAGTTCTTGATCAAGTTGCTACAGTTGATTAAGTTTTTTAAAGATTTTGAGTATGAAGTACTAACGATGTACACCGTTTCTCCACAAAGTTTATTTTAAACATCTATATGCAGATTAATTTGGTTGACCGCAACTAATTTTTAACTATTTTGCTTTAAAGGTCTTTGAAAACTAAAGTCACTATCAACAATCACAATGGTAAGTAGTTACTGACAGTATTATGATAAAATTGTAGGTGGCCGTTGTTACCTCTTTATTTTAAAAATGCCCGACAGAATAGCAGTGTTATTTTTAGTAAAAAATTGAGGTCGTTGTACACTAAACACACCCTCGGCCAGGCTTTTCAGCCATGAGAGTGATTAGGAATAATCAAAGCAATTTTTTTTTATTTGAGGAAGCAGAATGTAAGCAAAATTTTGCTGTACTTCCCCTTGCTTAATTGGAACTCATAATGTAATAATCAATATTTCAAAAATAGCTCTCCTACATACCAACTTTGGCCTTCATTTTCTCTCTATTGAACAAAAAAGCTTCATTTTTTGGAATCTGTGTTCTCCTTTATAGCAGTTCTGATACCTGAAAAAGGTTTTTTAGATTATTAATCTTATTTTTGTGTTCTCTTGATACAGTCTATGTCAGGGGTCCAAGTCGATGCTAAAATCAACGGTTTGTTTAATGACATGAAGATGAGAAGCAAACACAAGTTTGCATTCTTTAAAATTGAAGGAAAGAAGAAAATTGTTGCTGACGTGTGTGGTGATCCATGCAAAACAGAAACAAAAGAAGAAGATGAAGAACAGTTTAATAGAATGAAGGAACAACTCAGCAATGAGCCACGATATATTTTGTATGATTTTGGATTTATGAAGAAGGATGGCAGGCGAGTTAATAAGCTGGCATTCATCTTTTGGTGAGTGAGACTGTCTCTGTATTTTTATTAATTGGTGACCGGGCATAAAATTTTCCTTTAGTTTCAAGACATTTTACAGGTGTTTTAAGCTGGATTTTAATGCATGCAGCTCGAAAGAGTCAAAGTTGTAAGAACATTTTATTTCATTAACCTGGTGAAAATCAAAGACTTTATTTGAGTCGTACGGGGTTATAAGTAAAACAGAATCGGTGGCCTACTTGTCAGGCGTTTGAAAGAAAATGGGAAGGGAATTCCGGCCGCTCGAGAAGCGCGAAAGGCGCGCGAGTGGAGTATATGGTCTTTTTCGTTATTCACATCGACCAGAGAGATGCAAAAATAATTATTTGATTTTACTTAATGATACCTTAATCCAATTGGTTGAAGTCAACATCATGCTATTGGGGACTTCTTACTGGTGATAAAAGCGCTTGAAACTTACTTTTATCGCGGCTTTTTTTACAGATCCTTAAACTCGTTTCATAAACTCGGCACGCGTCGTTGCAAATTTCCTCCTTCAGTTTAGCTATAAACGGCGTCGAACTCAGGCCACTTTGGTGGAAGGTGAATGCTCTCTCCACGGCGCCTCCCTTGCTCCCTGAATCGACGTATTATTAATCAACGTGCACTCATCAAGACATAATTTATTAAAAAAGTAGCCTATTCCAGGCTCTCAGATAGTAGGGAAGTGTATTAAAGGCAGCGAAAATATAAGCACGCGATCTGGGAAAAGAAGGCGGTGCCGCCCTTCCACTCTCCAGTCTCCTCCCGTCAGTATATTTTCGTGTTAGCGCTTTCTCCATTTCCCTGACCCGACTATCTCGGAGCCTTGAACGGGCTAATAAAAACGGTCTTTAGGTTTTAGTTTGTATGATAAAGTACACCCTTATTGCCTGGTTCTCATTTCTACTTAGAGACTGTTCACATGAGGTGAGCCAGCTTGGTTAGCAAGACTGGCCTTCTTTACCAGGCTGGTTCGGCTCGTTCCTTGTTTCCTTACAAAATCGGTGTTGTGTTTACATGAGAAGACCGGCTGGCGCACTTGCTGAGATCTTCCTTGGAGGAACCAAGATCTCGGCAAGCGCAGCCGAGCCAACCGGTTAACTCGGCTGGCTCACCTTATCTCCCTCTTTTGTTTCAGGTGTGACGAAAATGCAAAGATTGGAGACAAAATGATATACGCATCTTCAAAAGACACCATCAAAAAGTCCTTCACTGGTTTATCACTGGAATTCCAAGCAAACGATGAGGGTGATTTGGATTACACAACTTTAAGTGAGGAAGTGGAAACTAGAAACGCTTAGATAGCATACATCAGAACACGACACTCAAGCTTTTTTACAACTTTTCCTTTTTGTGTTTGTATAATCTGCCGTTTAAGTTTTAGATGACAAGAAATATCAATAACTGCATGCAATCTGACTTCATTTTATACCTGTTATCTCTGACCGCCTATTGAATTTAACAATGGTGGGAGGCCATTTTGTAGATAGAATTATTTAAAACCTTTAAATACCTGGAAGGAAGCGAATGTTTTGACACCTTAACTTTGTATTCGGAAGTAAATTTGTAGTAAACAGTGTTTTTCTTCCTGGCATATTTTGTTGTCTTGAAAACAATCATTTCACAAATAGTAACAGGTCGTTTCGATACATATTTACCGCTTGGTCGAGGTGTAAATAGTTTCACATGCTTGGCTTAAAGAACGAAGAATACTCACCTCAAATGCTTTCTTGTCCACGCGTAAACTCGGTATACTTGAAGAGATCAAAACTTCATTTTTGTGTAATTTCAGTGCTTCGGGGGCGAATTGAAACGACTCTGTATCGAATCGACCGGTTTCCTCACAAACATACCATCTAAAATTGAGGTAAATACAAACTGAACAGGTTTTTTGTTACCCTGCGAGCAGTGGTTTCTCCAGTTCAGACGCTATGCTACGAAGCGAGAGTAACGCTTTGTAACGTAGCTTCCGGACTGGGAAACCACTGTTTGCAGGGTAGTTGTAAGTATTCTTGACTTGTGAACTCTCGCGTATGATATGTTCCAGTGAACCACTCAGGACATTTCAAGACCTCTGAGCTCAAAAATCACTGAATGATTAATAGTGACTTTCTGAGAATAAGGTGCGATAGTCCATTTTTGTGTCAAGACTAGATTAAAATTCGACAGTTTTGGTCTGAGATGATGTTTCGAGTTCTGGAATGAAGGTTTGCCAACCTTATTTAGAGCAGAAGGATAGTTCCAAAACCAAGCAATTTCTTCAAGGGGTTTGGCACCGAAGAGGTGTGTCTCTTTACTTCGGGGAAAGGGGAAAGAGGAACAAGCAAGGAGGAACGATAATTGAAAATCGGATGAAAACAGAGAAAGGGTATGTATTATAGGGCTGGCTACACTGTAGGGTCCCATTTTTTCATTTCCAACTCCCCGTTCCTCGATTTAGTAACCTCCAAGGGAGGAGTCCTCTTCGTTCGAAGGACATTTTGCAAGTAGACTTATCCTTGGAATCGGCCATTTTGTACCTTGGGAATCAGAGGTTTTCCTGCTTGCTGCGTTTGCAGCCAGATGTTTCGTCGGTCACGGGCCTACGCCACGGCTATAAAGGCTTGACACCAAAATCGGCGCATGAAAAGCCTCTGGCCATTACTCTCTGACGTCATAGAATTTGTGATGCTGCCCGCTTAAATTTTTGGCTGGAAACAGTTTCACTGTTAGAAGTCATGTGACCTCGAGGTAACCAATGAGAGCGCGCGCTGTTAGCAAAAAAAAATTCCAGCTATATCACAATACGACATAACGACTTGTTAGGTCGTAGTGCTTATGTCGTTCTATTACTAGTGTGAACACGGCTCAACATTGAGTCTGTGCGTTTACATACCAGTATCTTGCTCCTAAGGTGGTTTTTAGGTTTCAGTTCGTGGATTCAGATGGAGCTCAGCGAGCAGCGCGAAAATTCTTATAAGTGAAGAGCAAAGAAGAGTGCGAAGTACGGTACAGGACAGAAGAGCGCAAGCTCATTTTTTGCGCTTCGACTTTCACTACAACCGAGGGACTTCGAGAAATTCTAATTACCACCATTAAATTGATTTTATTCTCGGTGAAAACGGTCTGATCAGGCTTCATTTTCATTATAGCTCAAGATTTCAGGACTGATTTGCTTTACAGAGGTAACTTTAATCCAGGTACTGCATGAATCGAGGCAGCTCGAAGCCGCCATGTATACAGAAAGATTGAAAGCAGTGCACATGAGCAGTACGTTTACCCGCTGTCCAGTTGCTGGCCTGGATCGCCAGAGCTGGTCGCTTACGAGAGTGGTTGCAAGGAGAACTTCCATTGTATGTGAGCAGCAAGCGAGAATAAACCGATATATAATTTATTTATATGATTATTTCTCCATACTAATTTATTAGTGATTCATTTATTCGCTGGACCTCTCTTGTGTACGTGTATTTTTCAGTGATGTAAAGACTTCCTGCCCAAATTAGGGAGATCTACAACGTTTCCTGTCTAAGCGAAACTTTGTGTTCTCCTTTAAAGCACGTCTGATACCTTAATAAGTCTTTTTTTAGATTATTAATTTATTTTTATGTTTTCTTGATACAGTCTATGTCAGGGGTCCAAGTCGATGCTAAAATCAACGGTTTGTTTAATGACATGAAGATGAGAAGCAAACACAAGTTTGCATTCTTTAAAATTGAAGGAAAGAAGAAAATTGTTGCTGACGTGTGTGGTGATCCATGCAAAACAGAAACAAAAGAAGAAGATGAAGCACAGTTTAATAGAATGAAGGAGCAACTCAGCAATGAGCCACGATATATTTTGTATGATTTTGGATTTACGAAGAAGGATGGCAGGAAAGTTAATAAGTTGGCATTCATCTTTTGGTGAGTAAGGCTGTCTTTGTATTTTTTATTATTTGGTGACAGGGCATAAAATTTTCCTTTAGTTTCAAGACATTTTAGGCTGGATTTTAATGCATGTAGCTCGACAGAGTCAAAGTTGTAAGAGTATTTTATTTCATTAACCTAGTATAAATCAAAGACTTGATTTGAGTCGTAAGCGGAGTTATAAGTGCAACAGAATCGGTAGCCTGCGTGTCAGGCGTTTGAAAGGAAGTGGGAAGGGAATTCCGGCCGCTCGAGAAGCCCGAAAGGCGCGCGAGTGGAGTGTATGGTCTTTTTCGTTTTTCACATCGACCAGAGAGATGTAAAAATAATTATTTGATACCTTAATTAATGATACCTTAATCGAATTGGTTGAAGTCAACATCACGCTATTGGGGACTTCTTACCGGTCATAAAACCGCTTGAAACTTACTTTTATCGCGGCTTTTTTTACAGATCCTCAAACTCGTTTCATGAACTCGGCACGCGTCGTTGTAAATTTCCTCCTTCAGTTTAGCTACAAACGGCGTCAAACCCGGGCCACTTTGGTGGAAAATGAGTGCTCTCTCCACGGCGCCTTCCTTGCTCCCTGAATTGATGTATTATTAATCAAAGTGCAATCATTAAGAGATTATTAAATAAAAAAAGTAGCCGGTTACAGGCTCTCAGATAGTAAGGATGATGCGTAAGTGTAAGGCACCCGAAAATATAAGCGCTCGATCTGGGAAAAATGGTCGGCGCCGCCCTTCCTCTCCCCAGTCTCCTCTTGTCAGTTTATTTTCGTGTTTGCGCTTTCTCAATTTTGCCGACCCGACTATCTCGAAGCCTTGAACGGGCTAATAAAAACGGTCTTTAGGTTTAGTTTGTATGATAAAGTACACCTTTATTGCCTGGTTCTCATTTCTACTTAGAGACTGTTCATATGAGGTGAGCCAGCTTGGTTAGCTAGACTGGCCTGCTTTACCGGGCTGGTTCGGCTCGTGCCTTGTTTCCTTACAAAATCGTTGTTGTGTTTATAAGAGAAGACCGGCTGACCCACTTGCTGAGATCTTCCTTCGAGGAACCAAGATCTCGGCAAGCGCGGCCGAGCCAACCGGTTAACTGGGCTGGCTCATCTTATCTCCCTCTTTTGTTTCAGGTGTGACGAAAATGCAAAGATTGGAGACAAAATGATATACGCATCTTCAAAAGACACCATCAAAAAGTCCTTTACTGGTTTATCACTGGAATTCCAAGCAAACGATGGGGGTGACTTGGATTACACAACTTTAAGAGAGGAAGTGGAAACTAGAAACGCTTAGATAGCATGCACCAGAACACGACACCCAAGCTTTTTTACAACTTTTCCTTTTTGTTTTTGTATAATCTGCCGTTTAAGTTTTAGATGACAAGAAATATCGATAACTGCATGCAATCTGACTTCATTTTATACCTGTTATCTCTGACCGCCTATTGAATTTAACAATGGTGGGAGGCCATTTTGTAGATAGAATTATTTAAAACCTTTAAATACCTGGAAGGAAGCGAATGTTTTGACACCTTAACTTTGTATTCGGAAGTAAATTTGTAGTAAACAGTGTTTTTCTTCCTGGCATATTTTGTTGTCTTGAAAACAATCATTTCACAAATAGTGACAGGTCGTTTCGATATATATTTACCGCTTGGTCGAGGTGTAAATAGTTTCACGTGCTTGGCTTAAATTAAAGAACGAAGAATACTCACCTCAAATGCTTTCTTGTCCACGCGTAAACTCAGTATACTTGAAAAGATCAAAATTCTTGTGTACTTTCAATGTTTCAGGGGCGAATTGAAACGACTCTGTATCGAATCGACCGGTTTCTTCGCAAACATACCATCTAAAATTGAGGTAAATACAAACTGAACAGTTTTTTTGTTACCCTGCGAGCAGTGGTTTCTCTAGTTCGGACGCTACGCTAAGAACGGAGAGTAACGCTTTGTAGCGTAGCGTCCGGACTGGGAAACCACTGCTTGCAGGTTAGTTGTAAGTATTTCTTGACTTGTGAACTCTCGCGTATATGCTCCAGTGAACCATTCAGGACCTCTGAGCTGAAAAATCACTGAATGATTAACAGTGACTTTCTGAGAATAAGGTGCGATAGTCCAAAGCGAGCTAGTAAGTCTTTACGGCCTTTGCCACCATTTTTGTGTCAAGACAAGATTAAACTTCGACAATTTTGGTCTGAGATGATGTTTTGAGTTCTGGAATGAAGGTTTGCCAACCTTATTTAGAGCAGAAGGATAGTTCTAAAACGAAACAATTTCTTCAAGGGGCTTGGCACTGAAGAGGTGTGTCTCTTTACTTCGGGGAAAGGGAAAAGAGGAACAAGAAAGGGGGAACGACAATTGAAAATCGGATGAAAACAGAGAAGGGGTGTGTTTTGTAAGGCTGGCTACACTGTAGGGTCCCATTTTCCATTTCCACCTCCCCGTTCCTTGAAGGGAGGAGTCCTCTTCGTTCGAAGGACATTTTGCAAGTAGACTTATCCTTGCTTGGAATAGGCCATTTTGAACCTTGGGAATCGGGTTTTTTTTGCGCGTGGCGTTTGCGGCCAAATACTTCGTCGGACACGGGCCGACGCCACGGCTGTAAAGGCTTGACACCACAAACCGCGCATAAAAAGCCTCTGGCTCCTAGGGTGGCCATTACTCTCTGACGTCATAGATTTTGTGATGTTGCCCGCTAAAAGA